CTAATGGTGGCGGTGTTTTTTGAATGGCGAGAAAACTAGAAAGTGGCATGGCCTCACCTAGTCCAACGACTGGTTTGGTTGTGGTGGCTGTCCCTGTTCCGACTAAACCAGAGAGTGATATGCCCTGATTTAATGAGCCACTTGAGCCAACAAGACCAGAGAGTGGAATGTTCTGATTAAGCCCGATCACTGGACCTGGCTGACAAGATTGTACCTTCCCTGGCAACATTAGAGTTGACAGGGGTGTACTGGAATAACTTTTCATGGAATCAGAAGTTGGAAAACTTCCAAATGATAAGGTCGATAATGACCCAAGAGTTTGTGTAGTAATATCTGCCATACTGTGTATTTCTATCAATGTCCTGCTGCACTAGGCTTGCTAGCGAACCTACCTCTAGTGGAGAACCACTTGGTTCTTTTACACCTGCAACAGCTTCACCCAAACTACTTGTAAAATGAACACTGTCCTCATTCTTTAAGTTTGGTTGATCGAGTAGAATGCTTCCCAATGCTAAATTTGAAAGACCGATTGGTGTAGATTGCACGACCCCAGTTGACACTTGGTTGGGAACTCTCTTTATGTGCTGAACTCGCTAATGATACACCCTGAGGGAACACCCGTAGAGGACTTCCTGGCTGATTACATGTTGAATGACCATCTCCTATAGTGTCTTTATTCTGTCCTGGCAATGTGAAGTCTGCTGCACTGCAGAGTCCAGGAGGCACTGACTCGCCTCTATTATTGTACATGACATCACATTTATCAGTTACATGTTTGTTCACATGCTGCTCAGCTAAGGAAGCCAAGCTAAGACCACCTAATCCACAAAGCAACTTCTCTCCAGTAGAATCTACATTCTTTTCCCCTGAGACATCCTTCAAAGTGCCCTGAGAGACATCACAGTGACCGCTAAACCTCGCACTAATCTTTGTGCTATCTGTTTCAGTCAAACTAACATTTGGCTGAAGTGTACTCTCTGTTAACTTCAAAGAACTAAGACTCGTACTCGCGAAAAGTTCAGACAGACTTGGCAGTTGACCTCCAGATACTGTTGGCATGACAACTGGCATGCCAGGATCCGGAATATATGGTTCCTCACATTTAGAGTATGTCAATCCGGAGAGTTTATCGGATAACATCTGGATGGAAACCCCTTGGCTTTCGGGAATGGGTGAATATATTTGGTCAGTCGGGGTGTTGGGAGGGGTTTGAAGATCTAATAGTCTTTGTCTGGCTTTGGGATTAATGGCTATACTCTCTGTTGAAAGAGAGGAGTCGAGTAGCGAAGAAGGTCTAGCAACACACCCATCAGGTGATGAAACACCCTCAAAACCAGGTGGGGGCTTGGTATTTTTGTTAGTAGGTTGTATGTGTGTGGAATGTACTCTAGAATGGAATGTGGAGTCTTACCTTACCACAGCCAATTATCACCAGGGCAGTAGAGATTTATTTATAATCAGAACAAGCAAAGAGGTAAGGCAGGAACATATGCAAAGAAAAGTAAAAAAAAAAGGCATTCCTTAAGTTTGATGAAAAATTGTATTTTTTTAAAAAAAATCAACAAAAATGTAATTAAATAGAAATATTTTACTTTTATGTAGATATACAATAAATAATTGATAATAATAAATAATTTTAAAGAGAGCCAAATATTTTTAAAGCGGAGGGATCGTCTCTTGCGTACGCACAACAATTGAGTCCCAAGCGATGATAACAACGAAAGCTCACGCAAAGGCTCATGGGTAGATGCTTGTTTGTAAACAACGACACACTATGGCCATCTGATGCATACACAGGTGACGACTCCCTCGCTTTAAAGCGCCTGCTAAAAGCTTCCACGTATGTCCAAAATGGATGGGAAAAAAATACACCAGCAGGTGATGCATTAAATAACGAGTGGTCGTAGAATTGAATTGTGGAATCCATATTGCATTATGAATGAAACATATAATCATTATTATTTCAATTAATCTAAAATATGTTTATGAACATAGGTAACCACATCTAATCTGAAGAGAGAAATCTACTAAATCTACCTCAGTAATATTGCAGACATTGATGGCTCCATAATCTGGTTGATTAATGCTTCTATAAATTTGTTTGCTATCATTACCTGCTGTTTTTCTTTTTGTGAAAGGAGCAGCAAAATTAGCTGCTGCTCTAGGTGGTGCAGCTCCCCTAGGTGACTCAGTTTGGTTCAAAATGGCATCCAGGGACCTTTCAAAGTTGAAGTTGTACTGTATGATGACATCAATCAGGACATGCTCTGGGATAGTGTCTCCAACAATATTACGGATTTCCTCAAGACATGATTGTAGTTTTGCTGTAAGAGAAAAATATTTAAAAAACAAGCTTAGAAAGAGCCATTAAAGTGCCTGCAAAATGTTTCCACCTATCAAGATACCTAAATATTGAATAAGTTTTAGAAGTTGGAACAGCATAAAAATAGATGGAGCATTCATGTTTAGAAATGTTGGTTCGATTGAACCATTTTGTTTTGAGCATGATGCCAGAAAATTCAACCACCAGTGACAGTGACAGCAATGACGCAAACAATGACTTTGAAATTGTTAACAAAAATAACAAAATCAAGACTACAAGCGTGATAATTGGCTGCACATTTCTTCGTATTAGAGACTGTGACACCCCCGCCCCACCAAAAAAATAATTGAGAAAATTGTCTAATAGAAGCACATGTACACCAAAAAATCACATTTGTCGTACACTGAATCATTGTAATTGTATTGTATTTATTTACACCAAAATGAAACTATACATGACACAATTAATTTTACCACTGCAAAGGATTCTGGTGTGGGTCATGGAAATAGCTCATTAATAATAATAATAATAAAAATAAATTTATTTATTCATCCTTGGTGACTGGTTCACAACAAATCTAGTCAACCACAAGGCCCATACTATAAAAATGAACATAACTACATAAAAACTTGATATAGATAAAATTAGTGAAAACAAAGTTTTTTGGGACTACTTTATTGCAAGAGTCAGAATACATACTTTTGTAATGGTGTTATATATTACCTGATCACCCAAGTGTATTGATATATAAAAAGTAGTGCCGTGAGTCACCACATCACTAACATATATACAAAATTATGAGGTATAAATATAAAAAAAAAAATTAATACTGCCAGCAGCCTTAATTTTTGGGTGTAGCTTGTTCCACAACTTTGGTCCTTGGTGCAAGAAACTCTTTCTATAAAACTCATTCAAATCTTAATTTATTTTGCCCATAGAAATACCTCTGTAACTTAAGTAGGCAAATATGCTACTGATAGAGCAAATACAGTATAGAGAATATCAAAGAACATTGAGGCAAATTTGTTGAGCATCAAGGCAAATGCATTTGATGCCACTACAAAGTTAAAGATCTGCTTGACCGTATGCTCTAATTTCAATTTTCAACTTTTGTATTATTTTGTGAGTATAGTTTGTGGGGCCATGCATGGCACAGTTCCTCTTATTATCAAATTTAAGATATATAGTTTTGTTTATAGTAATATAATTGGAGAATAAAAACATGTCAGAGATATGGATCCAGAAGCTGATGCTTGATTAGGATGATTTTTTAACATTAAAATGATTGACATTCAGTCATCTTGTATCTGATCATCAAACGAGTACTTGTCTATATGGAGAGATATTGCCCTGGAAACAGCAACAATTTAAACAAAATGGCCAAAATGGTATGTATGATGTATGTGTGAAGTTTGAATGTAATTGGTCCAGGCATGTCTAAGATATACACACGAATGCACACACAGAGGTCAATCTATAAGTCCCTGTTTTCGGACTGCATCCGAACGGGGACTAATAAAAATGATAATAATGCACAATACACCTACCTTCATCTACAGAATTTAATTTGGGTTTCTGATAATCTTTGGAATCACTGAGTGGGTTTTCGTTATCACTGTTATCTTCGTCGTCTTCCTGAATGGAGTTATGACTTGTCATGAATGAGGACAGACTGTGATCTTGATGACTTCTATGGTATAAGAACTCATCCGCTGTAAAAGTAACAACATTCTTTATAGGTAATCGAACATTTAGGCGATTACACTTGCATAGACACAGGTTGATAAAAACTGGCTGTTCGTTTATACCCAGAGATAAAAAAAAATGGCGTTGTTCATTATTACAGTCACTACTGTGGAATACTTTATTTTCGCTTGGAATTAATTTTCGCTATTTTCGCTGAAGGAATGATTCAGTGAAAATAAAATCCAGCGAATATACTTTTTTTCCTATATTTTACATTCAACTTGTCAAAAATCATTGAAAATAAATTCCATACAAATCACTAAAATCACTATACAGCGAAAATTAAATCCAGCTAAAATAAAGTATTTTACAGTATGTACAATGTTGTATGTGAGCCCCATTTTTTATCACACACTTGCATGTTGGTTAGCAAACAAATGGCAAATTGTATTTGTTCCATGAAAAGGACATCTCTTATGAGACGAGAGATTGCATTTAATTCACTCTAGATCATACACAATAATGTAAAAAAATACAGCATAGAAATATGAATTGAAATATGTAATTATGTAAGAATAATGTACTACTAATAAAGGAAATACAGTAATTGCCAATGATAACACTATGGATTGCTCATTATTGTCATAATATTTTAGTGTTGCCATGGTTACCTGTCGATGGGGATATACCATAGGAGTCATCTTCCACAGAATGACCGTAGATATCGTCATATCCTGCATACTCTGAAAGAAAAACAACAATTCATCATAAATGACTTCCTGTCAGTAATTTATCCCCGCCCCCTTGTCATTTTGAAATCACATGAAGCCAATGAGATTCAAGACTGCAGGCACAACATCTGTCCCACTACTGTCCAGCAATGTTGTTATAGGAAGGGCTTCTGTAAATCTAAGACTTAATTTTAAGACTAAACAAAATATTGTGGTTCCTGTAATATGCTTTTCAAAAATAGAGTAGGAAGCTAGGGTATTTAATTTTTTTGTATATTGTTTGAGGGATATAATTGTACTCCATTTTTCTTGCATATAAGAACTGTTTCACAGGTATGAATGTTATATAAATCATGTTTAATGTTGTTTGTAATTTCTGTCAAATCTCATTCAAGCACTGCACAATTTTGTCATTTAACCTTTTTACCACCAGACTTTCTCAGTCCAAATTTATCTGCATTTTTTTTTCGTTTTCAGTATTTCTAGAAATGAACCCTAATTTTGGAGCCAACATACAAAATTTTAGCTATTTTTGTCCCAATCTTCTGAGGGAAAGTGCAGACTTTAAATTTGACTATTTTGTGATGAAAAAAGGGTACTGGTGGTGAAAAGTATAAGGCTAAAAAATATTTGATTCAAGCAGTCATAATAGTGTTGGTCGGTTATAGGAATCTTATCACACATTTTTTTTTTCTCGCCCATGATATGACAACTGTGAACTAAATTTCTTGGATTGCCAGATCTAATGTGCAAAATGTAAACCCAAATGGCTGCTTTGTCTACCATCATGAATTGATGAAAGTTGATGTGCTATAACACAAGTTTGGACTTAATTGGACAGCATGAATTTGTCACAATATATTGCAACTTGTATCGTAAAATCTGTATTAGAAGCTGCATCCCTAATAGAAGTCCCACCCATTCTTTTTGAACAATTGAAAACCAAAAATTCATCATTTCTCATATGTGTAGAGGCACTAATATAAACCGCATCCCCTCTGTTGCATTGTACCATTTCAATAGAAGTTGCAGCTTCTAATACAGATTTTACAGTAGTCGCCAAGAAATCTTTCTCACAACCGAAATGTTGATTAATCCATACTTTACTAAAAACATATAAAAAAAAAAGAACAGAATCTTGAACTTGTACTGTATTTATCCGGCTAAGAGCCCATGCCCGGACAAATGCCCACCCCCCACTTTTGATAAAATAAAGGAGTTGAGGTCATATCCTAGCAAACGCCCAGGGGTGTTTTTTACACCTGTAATAAAATAAAAAAACAAAAACCTATTTTTGTTCGTTGTATTAACAGTGTACTTCCTTGCAGTTTGTTTTGATTCTGATAACAAAGTTTGAAAAATAAATGTCAATTGCGTAAAACGAGGAGTGAACGCAAAATAGCTGTGACATAAATAGAGCAGTGCGTTCACCACTGTTTACGTAGTTAGCGTCGCCGACAATGAAACCAATGTTGCAATATTGTAGCAACCCGTACCTGGGAGAGTGGTTTAATGCAAGTTGTTTTGGCTTTATAAAATTTTTGCGAATCCATAACTGGGGCCAGCAATTTTGCAATGTCATGCCGAAGACTGCCAACTTTTTTACCATCTTTCACCACAGCTATTGCATTTCATGGAAAATATTCTTCTGTCGTTGGAAAAACAAATCTTCCTATTTCAAGCCCACCGCGATATCCATATAACTTGCTGAATGGTAACTTTGACCATGATTGATGAACGAACGCCTAGTCTGATAAAAAAGTGATGTTGAATTTACCTCCATGACGAAACACTAGTAGTGATGTCATTCTTAGCCAATCGGTAAAGTGGATGCTTAAAGGTCAAAGATGATTGCCAGACGGTAAACAAAAGCATCGTGCGAGTCGTTTGCTGCGACCCCATTTTTCTTGTCTCTTTATTCTGATTAGACGTGAATTAAAAGTGCCAAGCTACCAGACAGCGAAATCCGTGAATTAAATGTGCAAAGTCCAAATTGTGTGGGACGACATCGACAAACTTCAAGACGAAGCTATAGGGATTTTAGTTCGATCGCGACAGTGGCGCCGACTTGGAATTTTTGGGTTTTGACTTTTACGAAGATAGCAATGAACGTACAAATAGAGATCTTAGAAGGTTTTTTTTCTAACAACTATGAACTTTCGTAATTTTACTGCGTAAATTATTATTGATTGATCCGGCAATTAAAATT